GTCAATTTCTGGTGTACAGCAGTGCGTCGGTCATACATTAACATACATATATTCGTTCTCATATTCTTTTTCACCGTAAGTTACAAGATATTGAATTTAGTTCCCTGTGCTGTACAGTATAAACTTGTTTATTTTATATATATTAGTTAGTATCTGCAAATCTTGAACTTCCAATTTATCCCTTCCCACCCCCTTACCCACTGGTAACCATGTTTGTTTTCTATGTAGGACATTTATTTTTGAATCCTGTTTCTTTCTTTTTGACAAACTCATCAGCTTCACTCGATTTCCCCATTCATACTATTTGTATTTAATTTATGCCTTATCATTTTACGGCCTGAATCACAGCAAAAGCCTTATAGCTCTTTATGCTTCCAAACTCCTGAACATACCCTGTGTACTGTTTCTTCAGTCATCAGGTACCTACTACACTTGTTTTCAACGCCGTCCTTGGTCAGGCCTCAACCAAGCTATGGTGATATATATATTTTCCCTCAATGTTCTTTTGCCCTTTGAGCCACTGATCGCATCTCAGGTAATACTTTGCTTCTTGCTTTCATCCAGTCTATTCTGTTCCCTTGGAAATGTCCACTTTCTCTTCTTCCCCTCTGTTGACCAAGATCCTACACTCCTACAATGCCTGGATTGTAGACAGTTCTCATCTCCTCTTTGCTCAAAGGGATTTCTTTTCTCAACTCTTTTGTTCGTGCTTAAATTTTCTTATGAGTAAAATACTCATATATTTCATGTGTATGAGCTCTGCCTTCTCAGTATGATTACAGACACCTGAAAGGGAAGGCTCCTAGTTAATAATTTTCTGATGCGGCAACAGCACTTATAATACTATGACAACAAGTGTTTATTCACTATCCATCAGCTAAGTAATTGATCGCTAGGAGCTCTTTTCAGATGATACGGGATCTTCACTGAAAACAAATGATAACCTTTTAGACAATAACTTTGCTATGATGAAGACTAGGACAACACAAAAGATGAAAAGGTCACAGTTTTTCATAGGCAGTTTTACAGCAGGGATAGAAATGTCACCTCTGGGAAAATTCTGATGAGTTGAAAAGACTGTCAGAGTCAACCAAGAATTGCCTGTCTTGAGGATGGTATGACTTTCCATCACCAGCCTCAGCATATAATCACAAAGTAGACTTACGTAGCCACAAGCAACTGGATAAGACGACAAGCTTTTAAGGGCACATTACCATTTACAACTAACACACACAGAGTAACTTTGAGTGAATAAAGTGCTGTTTTATTTAAAGGTCTAAAGGGACTGCTTGAAGCTAGCTAGTTGCCAAATAGCATAAATATCAGGGTACTGTATACACTTTCCACTACATCTGAATCTTGAATTGAGAGAGGGAGAAGGCTAGCTTAAAAATATTCTCTCCAGTTTTTTTCTTTTATCTTGTCTTTCCTTCCTTCTCCCCACTGCACCCCCCCCCCATATCTGGCCCTGGAATCAAATGTCATTATTTATTTCTACACTGATAGAAATGGCTGAGCAAACACTGCTTCAGGACTTGAAGGGACCCTAGTCTCACTTCTTCCTAGTTGTAGGGAGCTCTTTGTGTTGGAGGTTGTTACATCTCCAGATCTATAAACACAGTGGTACACCCCAACCAACATTCAGGCAGCGTACAAACTGGAGGAGTAGCTGAAAAAGAGGCAAAACTGAGAGACTGGTTCTGAGAGGAATCCGGGTGGGCTGTGTGATCATCTCTTTCCGTGTAATTTATGAGAGTAATGAGCATGGACAGACAGTGGTTCCTGGTGTGGGTACGTTACTCCTGATGCTCTCCGTTGTCATTTCAAAAGAAAAATAATGCTAGCAAGCACAATCAAAAACGCAGCACAGATTTCTTATCATACTATTGAGGGTTTCTATTTTGTATTTGCTATTGAACAACAAGGGACTAGTGTCTGCGGGAGTGACTGGCATCCTTGTGATCCTATTAACCCCAAAGCCAGACGTTATTCTATAACAGGAGTTGACAGACTATTTTTTAAAGGCCCAGACAGTAAATATTTTTGACTGTAGGGGCCACATAAGGTCAACTAATCTACTCAGCTTTGCCATGGTAGTGCGAAAGTGGCCATAGATGATACCTAAGCAAGTGTGCGCGGCCGTGTTCCAGTAAAACTTTACTGAGAGACACTGAAATTTTAATGCCATACAGTTTTCACACGTCACACCATATTACTCTTGTTTATTTTCCTGACCGTTAAAAAACCCAAAACTAGCCAGGTAGGATATAGCTCAGGGGTAGAGCATGTGCTTAGCATGCACAAAGTCCTGGGTTCCATCCTTAGTACCTCCATTAAAAAAAAATAAATAAATATACCTAATTACCCCCCCTCAAATCTGAAAACCATTCTAGCTCTTGGGCT